CTGGTTTTGTGTTTGTTATGCTAGTTGTGTTCTAAATGTTACGTAATTTGGTTGTGAATAAAATAATGGAAGAAGAATTTGAAATCTTTGTTTAAAATTGAACAACACGGACCTCGGACAAAAGAAATATGTTACAGTAACAATAGAAATAACTATATCGAGACTATTTATCGAGTTCGACGCGTTAAATTTATAATTATAATTCCAAAATGATTCATGATTTGTAAAAATCACGCAATGAATGAATGAATTATAACAGCAAAAAATATTGACACAAAACTTATATTTTTATAAATATCTATTTTTAACTATATATATATATATCTATTATCTCCTTGCTTCAAAAATAGTTCACTTTCGACTTCTAAGTTCTTAACTACGCTAACAGACCTACGTTTTTAAAGATTACGCGCTACAGTATTATTTTGCTACTTATAGAGTTAATTGAAAAATGGCCGAAAGTAGTAACTGTAACTGTTAGTGAAGCATTTCAATGACTAAATTACCGCACGTTTCAAGGGCGGAGATCATCCTGCTTATTAGAGTGAAAAAAATTGCTTTGTTCAATCAGATGGACACTTACCTACATTTTTGTAGAATAGTTGTTTCATATTTCGGATATTCGGATTATTTTTAGACTTCTTACCCGCATATTGAAAAACAAAGCACGATTTTGCCTGATTTGGTCGAGGAACTAAGATTATTTCCTAATTTCTTCTTTGTTACTTTTCCTATCACGATAAAGTTTTAAAAACAAATAAAGGAGACGTAAGGCTATATACTTTTGTCATATATAGAAATAGAAGAATTTGAAATATATATTAGCATAATACTTTTTACTCAACAGAAATTAATAAAATCCGGCGTATAACGCTCACCTTTATTTTCAAGCTTCAATTTTTAGGTATATTTGCCGTGTAACACGCACGCCCTTTTTTACGAAGAAAACTGTAATTTATGTGCGCAATGCCAATATGTTTGGCAGTCATTTATTCAAGGTATTATTTCAAGCTTAAGAAAAAAAATATATATTTCTAAGACTAAAACCCTTTTTAAATTCAAAAGGAATGCCATTACTTTTAAATGAACAATATTTCTATCTATGTAGAAGCCTAGTTTTTTTCTATGATCATCTCTTTTTTTATTTTTAAAGCTCTCATTTTTATATCCGGCGTATAAATTGCATCCGTTAATTTTGATCTTATTTTTTGTGTTAAAAGGGACCATTATACGCCAGATTTTACGGTAAATTTTTGAGAAACCTTACTTGAATGCCATTTTTACTTTTATTGATAAAAATTACTTTTAAAGAAGCACTGATTTCCTCAAAATGGTTATTATTCGTATAAAGCCTTTTGTAAGGCTTATATGCATAGCATGAATTTTAAAATTTTTCAAAAGAAAGCTGACATTTTTAGACAACTAATGTACAATTGAACAGCAACCTATGTTCGGAACTGCGACTCTAAAAAAAGCATATAAATGAATAAATTTTTGAAATTCAGTGTCAGTTGAATTGAAATATATATAGAGAAAATTGTTTTTAGAATATTATTTCAAGAAAAATTATTTGAAATTTTTTGGCAAAAAATTAAGAAAAAGTATGTATTTCGTCTTCAGCGTTCTAAACGCATTTCACTGTTCCTTAATGAAGTAATGCCTTATATTAGTAAACGCAGCATGAAGAGTCCTTGCTCTAAATGTTCTGCAGTCAACAGAAGTAAAAAAAAGGAAGACTTAGGCGATATAAATCATACGCGTAGGCAATACTAAGGTATTCTATCAGCTTCCTAAAAAATCAAGGTTATGAAAATTTGTTATTGAGAAGGACATTGGAAAGACATGTTAATGCTCTTTTTCTCATGGCCTTAATTCCAATACGAACTTTTTGTTAGAATATTTAAATGCTGGATAAATGAAAACATTTAACGCTCATCATTGCGATCTGTTATTCTAATGAATAACTGAAAGCATCTGTAATTTACTTTTGAAATTTCGAAAGAACATGTAAACAAAAATAAGAGTATGCGCGTAAAAAAATAACAATAACATCGAGAAAAATGCATTATCACAAATTATTAATTTCAGGAAAGAAATTTCAGGCAATTTTTTTAGACTTCTAAGCAATTATTTGAGATAATTCATACGTATTATTTTTTAAAAAAAAATGACATTTCAATGCAATTTCGAATACCATATAACATCTCACAGATGCAGTGTTGTTGTAAGTGGAATACTGTCTTAAGTACAAGCATTTGTATATTCCTTCTATATATAAGTATTACATACTTCATAACGTAACAGAAGTGGTATTTTCATTTAGTATATGAACAAATTAATTGAAAATTTTGGTAATAACTACGTGATTTATAAATAATTAATAATCTAAAAATGTCTTACATTGAGATACCATATATTTCATTATTTTTGCGTTCTCTCCTCTCTTCCGCTTATATGTTGTTTATTTCGAACTTTATTCTAATTTTTTAATTGAAAAAAAATTGAAATTACCCATGTTGAAAGTACAACAAAAATTACAGAATGAAAAAGAAAAAAAGGGTAACAATGTAACTAGTTTTAAAGTTATAATTTCAATAGATCAACAATTCACATAAAATCTATGGAACATTTCGGTAACTTAATATATATTATATCATATTATTTTTCGGAATTGTGCTATAAGATAGTAAAAAGGAATATTTAAAAAAAATCAATGCACAAAACTTGACAATTCATGGAGTTACCATAGGAAATAATAATAATAATAATAAAAACAAGTCCGAACTGGTAATTGGATAACAATGAAAAAATTAAGCTACTTTTAATTGGATGTTCTGATGAGTTAAAACAATTATCAAGAATTTTGTTTTTTTTTTCAAATACAATTTAATTGGTGCAGCATATTTAAAAGAAAATGGTTTCAGATTTGAATACTAGGATTTATTTATTATTACATTCACCGTGTAAAATCTTTCTGTAATAATTACTAAAATTTTTTAAGGAATAGAATTATACAGAAAGGTAAATGAGGTATTTGCATGCATTATCTAAAAAATAAAGTGTCCCGTTAAATAGGTTTTAAAAATATAGTAAGATTATTAGGCTTTTTTTGTTTTCTGGTATGGTTTAATTTATGTGTTCTCACATACATATGTTACCGAAATCATTCTGAATCTCTCCTATGACCCTATAAATCTATTATACTAAGCTATTCTTAACATCTCTGCAACGATTATGATAATCTTATTCCCTTATTACATCGGGAAGACAGCATTACAAGATTACGCTAGTAATCCCATTTAACTGCCGCCATAATAATAAAATGGCATTAAAGATATTTATAATGTTCCAAAATTAAATAAAAGCGAGTAGTAAGATTCACTGCCATCGCATCTTGTTTTGATGTCCATCAAATCCGCTTAGCGAAGAAGTACGTAACCAAAGAGATAGATAAAAGTTTTAAAAGAGCAAGTTTTCTTGAAAACTATTTCCTTAACCCTCTATTATGAATACAAAGGAAGTAAATATTTGAGGTACATTGTTTTAATACCTCATAGCAAACTTCTGAAGACTGATCATGCATGCGCATGTTATGATAACTGTTCTGCACCGTTTTTCTCATTAGTAATATCAATACCTTATAAATATTAGATTCTTTTATGGTATGCGAAGTTGACTCTCACAGGAACTCATGGCTTTGGTATTTTTGTGGGCGTTTAGTGCAGACAGCTCTCTTAAAGAATGTTTAAATAACAATTTAGTTTTGATTCGACTGAGTAGGTGTATACTAGGTGTGGTTTCATTCCAGTCATACCGGTCAGATCTGCTCTGCTGAAGTAATCTAATTTGCAGGATAATGTACATTGCAATCTGTAGATTGAAAGATGCTTTTTCATCGCCAAAATTGAATCTTTAAATGGTAACCTGAAATCATTTGTAGCTATTGAAAGTATTTTTCAAATTCAGAACTAGTGATACGACTTGAGAAGAAAGAAGAATGCAGTTTATATATTGCATTTTATTTATTTATTGCTTTTTACTTCCAATTCACTTGAAACATTACTACAAAAAATATAAATGTTTATCAGTTTTAAGTTTATTTATATTACAATATGTACGAGTTACACGCTCTTCCACATCAAAATGAATTAACAATTTACTTAATTCAATTAAATACGCGATTACAAAATCACCTTAATATCCTTATAAAATATATTTGCAAGAAAAGGTTTTAAAGTTCGTCCAAAAAAATAATTTTATTTGCTGTGCATTTATTTATATTATAATTATGCACTATGATTTCTTTTATTTAACTGAATGAGAGATTATTCATATATTTTAGAGTTAACAAAATTAACTCTAATTTCTTAACCCCACTGGTATCAATTTTAGGTAGTTTAAGTATTTTTAGGTAAAATGTTTTATTTTTGTAAATAAAAGAATCAGTTTGTAATTTTATATATAGTACGAATGAGAAAGGAATGACAGTACTGAAACATGTTATATAATTCTAGTATTCCTTCCGAAATCATCAATATTTAAAAATACAGTGCATATAGTTTCTATCATATCAGTACTTGTGAAACTCCTATCGCAAACGAGTTAAAAAATACACCTATAAAAATTTTGTTAATTTTACTCATCACAAAATTACTTACTTCAATTGCTGTTTTAAAATTCTTCAAGGAATGAAGAACCGAATAGGATCTTTTTTTTCGAACTGCATACTTTTTTAGAGACATTAAATAACATATACATTATCTGCTTGCTTTATTTAGAAAGAACCAGTTATTGATTAAGATTAAAGTGCTTCGTTTTTCTTTAGTTTAATTCACAGTATTTGTTTTAACGGTCACACAGAACATAATTCATTGTTACTCAGGAGAATGAATTAAAAGCGATTTTCCTTGCAATTTTCTTTTCTATATATGGTGTTGGACTATTTTTTGTTTGTTTGTTACTATTCTTTCATTAATTGAATTTAATTATTCTAATAAAATAGCACAGTAAGAAAAGAAATCACATCCATCAAACCCACGACCTTTGGATTAGAAGTCCAAAACGCTATCCATTGCGCTACAGGGACACAACAAGCGATTTTCCTTTTTATATATCGTGTTGGTCTATTATTTTTGTTTGTTACTATTTATTCATTAATTATATTTAATTGATGAATTAATATTTTTAAAAACTGTATCAGCGTCAAGTGCCATCTACTACAAGTTTGAAAAAATGTATTTGAACTTGAGTGGATAAATACAAAACATTTTATTAACGATTGAAAACCTGAACAATATATATATAGGGAGAGAGTGAACTAACAGTAGGAATTGAAAAAACAGCAAAAAATCTACCGAATTATTGACATACATTAGTTAATGAAGAAATATGTTTAATTAGGTTTTAAGTAAAAACAAAATAATAAGTAATAAACAAAAATGCTTTAAAAGAATAGATCCCTATCCTCCGATATGAACTAAAAAGAACACTATTCTGCGTACATGATAAACAAATTATTCAATTTTTTCTTATCTTATTCGATTGAAATCCTGTAATACCATATCGAATCGTTTGCTTATTCTACGCATAAACGCATTGATAGCAATATACCAACTGTGAATAAAATTTCAACAGAATTCCAACACACACTCCAACCTTACAACAGGCCTTTAACCATTGTGACTTTAATCATGTTCCATCTTATCGGTATAACACAGAATTTCCCACACAAGGTCATTTACAATGACTTTAATCAACAAAAATAGAATTCTTTTTTTGTGCATTCTGATGTTTTTTTCTTTTTTTACCGAAGCGAGTCACTTTAGGAAATTATACAAGAGCAAAGATGCGCAACGTCATGGACGATCCTTTTAACCAAAATCCAGAATAAAATGGCTGAATAGAACACTGCCTCAGATTCTTCAGCAGATAACGGTTTTCCGTAGAACTTAAAGAGCACTGGCCATAATTCCTACATGCCTGAGGCTAGCCAGTAGACCTCCTTGGCCTAGTTCGAGCCTTCCTTTGGAAAGTTTTGTCCACAAAAAAACGAGTTATTTTCGCTTGGAGCGGAATGTGGATGATGAATTTAGAATGAGGGGTGGAACCGGTATTCGAGATTTTTCCCATTAAAGCTGGTCAATTGAGTCCAAAGTTAAAGATTACGTTTTAAAAATGCGCGCTGTTTTAATGGTGCGTTCCGTATTAAGTTTGACGTGAAATGTATTCACGGATAATGTTGCTTTGTTGTATAGCCATGTGAATGCTATAGCCATCCACAAACATTAACAATGTGGGTTTTTTTTATACATGCTTGCTATTTGTTTCTCCATAAATATATGTGCTAGTTTTCTGTTTTGGGAAAGGAAAATATATTTTACTGAGTTCATTACGAATGCTTATTTTAGCATTTTTTTGTATGTAAAACAAGTAATATAAAAAAATAGTTTTTAAGTCAATTCCTACTTAGATCAACAACGCAAAAATTTTATTTTAGTTACTTTTTATTAAATAGTTACAATTAATATAAATATGTATATACATAGGACAGAATCTCAACATTAAGTGGTCATTAGTTTTTTTTTAATTATCATTAAAATATCGTATTGTCCTTTTAATTTTGTCCAACTGAATGCTTGATAACACGTGAGAAAAAAAAACCTTTTCAAGTTTTGACACAAGTCGCCAAAACGGTCGCTAAGTCGCCAACGTGGCTGTATTTGTAATTCTTTAAATAATTAGTTTTAATCAATTAATTTTTATTAAATTATTGTATTGTCATCCAAAATGATCCTGTATATAAAATTTCAGCTCAATTCAGCGCTTTAAAATGTATTTTATTAACGATTGAAAATTCCACCACAAGATAAATAAATAAATATACAAATATATAAATAAAGAAATATATAGACAATGCGAGCTAATAGTAGGAATTGAAAAAAAGGAAACTCAATAAGAAATTTTAAGTTTAATAGCAACAGTAATGGCTATATCAATTTTGTTAAAAACATATTCAAGCATCTTTAAATGTGAAAATTTGCATCGACAAAAATAAGCTACATTTTTTTCGGAAAATGATGTAACAACTGTGATTTGAACAAGGAGATTTCTTTCATACACTTATTTGAAAATCAATTTATATACAGTTTGAAACTGTCTCCATTTACATGTTGGGAGCCATGCCACGATGTTTTATTTAATTATTTTTTTGAAAAAATACTAAAATGAAAATGATAAGGGAGATAATATTTATTATTTTTCTGAACATGACGATCTTTTTCATTTTTAAAAATAACCTTCATGTATTTGATCTGTTGTGTTTAAGAGTAAGTTTAAATTGTGCATTCATTTAAAAATCAAATATCAATCACCAAGTAAGCTGTTATTCAATAAATTGTAAATATTAAAATAAATTTGTATTTTTTTCTAAGAATAACTGTATATTTAGATTTTTTTTATTGGAAATTTTAAAACGCGCATTAAATATTCTTTTTCCATTTACATTTAAATTCAGATATGATTTTTAAGTAGTTTTTATTCGAAATCAAACAATCCCAAAAAAAAAACTTTTATGTCTTTTAAAATGGTTTCGACTTTATTGGATAGATCAATATTATTTATGAAAATTTTCCCTGTTGAAGTAAAAGTATTTTTAGAAACGTATTTTTTGCTCTGTTTTTAACCAACCTGCATTTGGGTTTTCGTGTGTAAGCAATTTTCCTTATAAAATCCTCTACCTGAACAACTATGCTGATAGCATCTTCTCAACATTTAAATACATTGACCTATTCGTTTCTTGCTTAGTTATTTTAATTAGAGACCTTTTCAACCAGAAGTTAAGGTAAAAGCTATTGTAAGATGTAATATTATTAGTGTGAATAAACATCACTCTTTCTCTACTGTACCCGTTGATATAAAAATTTTGTGTTGGAATACATAAAATATACAAAGCTTTAAAGAAAAAGACTTCATTTAAAATAATTTTTAGCTTGTTTTTAAAGGATATTAATAAAGCATTCATTTAGACTCCAGTGGCCGATTGGTAGTGTATCGCGCTTTCACGCCGCAGGTCCAGGGTTCAAAACGCTTTTCATTCCTTCAATGGATTGATAAAAGAGTACCAAGCTTGTGCTTGGGAACTAAACACTGGGGGTTTCATGTCAGACACTGACCATCTAACTGGAACATCTGCTCATCCACCTCAGATCTCAGGTTCACGAAAACTGAGATGGGCCCAGTAGGCCTTGGTCAGACATTGGCTGTGGCGCACAATTTAGTTTTTATTTATTTATATTGTAACTAATATAAAATTTTGCTTATACATTTTAAGCAATATTATAAATTTTAATTCTAAATTTAATGTAATTTAAATTCTAATTAAATTTTTAAAAAGTTTAATAAAATATATTTTAAATAAAACTGGTAATAAATATATATCTCAATTATTGATTAAATTAAAAAAAAAAACTATCCTAAATTTCTTACCCCTCCAAAAGGGATTTCAATCAAAATGTAAAAACATAAATTTTTAAAAAAACACACCCTTCAACAACTTTGCTTAAAATATTCTTAAAACTTTAAGAAATATTAAGTATTTCATGCCACAATTTCAATAAAAAAACTGATAATTTAAATTTTTTTTTTTTAAAAAAATTACGCTATCGCCATTTATCAAAAATTGGCCATCCACACTGCAATGTTATTTAGCTCGAATGCGCAACACAAAACAAACTATGCTTCAATTCCGGCATAAACAACCCCAAAATGGAAAGCGTCGAAAATACAAAAAGATTTGGCCACGCACTGAATGGGACAGTTGTCACTTTTCTCGTCAGATTTACCGGATTCACCCGAATCGTCACGCTTGCGATCATCGTAATCTGATCTCACAGAGATTCCACGCTCACGCTCACGCGCATAACAAAGAATGCTAAACACGGATCGTCACGAAAGAGTGTTTGCGTTTCCATTCCCATTTGCTTCAAGCGTATAAACTATAACAAAAGTCCACGAAATTTGGGTCAAGGGAGCACAGAATTAAAACAGCGGCCGAACAAAGACTTTGAACTGCTCTTTAAAACATGATTTCCGATCAAAGTTGAAGGATTTTACAGGACAATATTTCATTATATAGAAAAAGGATTTATAATCGGTTGAAGGTCGAGCGGAAAGTAAAAATTTTTTAATTGTTTGTTTTTCCCAGATTTGTATCTTAGAAGGGTAGAAATAATTTCTGTGAGAAATTATTTAATTATATGATTGGTAAAAAAATAAATGTTGATATTTTCCCTTGGAACTGGAATTGTGTGATTCATTATTTTATACTTGATGCATTGTAGACGTTGCTATTTTGTAAATAAATTCCATAATTGGGCATTTATAATACTGGTATTTGACACTTTATGCTACTTTCTTCATTTTTAACTCAGGTTTTCAGGTTTAAAAGTATTAATTGCTTGCTAAAGAATTTTTTATGGTTATTTTAGAATTTTCTAAGATAATCCTGCAAAGGTATTTTGGGTTCATGATCAGTTTTAGTGAACTCTAACTCTGTTTTCTTATTAATAGATATTTTTCAAGAATAAATTAATCCATTGCAGTATTGAAAATAATAAACTTTTTAATGTGTAATAATAATCATTAATTCATAAATATGGACATTAATATTATTTTTAAATAACATATAGCATTGTATTTTAAGGAGATATTTAAAAGCTGTATTAAGTAATTTGTACAACATTTTTACGTTGTTCGCAAGTCTTGGAGGCATGTCTGTGACATCTTAAAAACGATGATTACGTTCGAAATTAATGGGAGTCTACTAAATTCAGTTGAATGTTTAATTTTAACTATACTCATTTTCAGTGGTGTAACGAAGAATATTAGGGCCCTCCTGCAAACTCAGGTTTTGGGCCCCTAGCCCAAATACATACTTAGCGTCAGTCAAGCTTTGGGCCTCCTAGAGTCCCTGCTCCCCCCCCCCCACCGCAATGCGAGGGTGTACGTTACGCCACTGCTCATTTTATATAAATTAGTAGAATGAATTTGTGAGAACATTTAAAAAAAAGCAAAACATACAAT